ATCAATGACTGTTTTTCTGATGTTGTTTCTGTGAGCACTGGTTCTCCTCAGGGATGTATTTTAAGTCCTCTGCTCTTTACTTTGTACACTCACGATTGTGTGTCCTCCTCTGACTCAAACCTGATCATTAAATGTGCTGATGACACCACCATCATCGGTCTCATCAGTAATAACGATGAATCCTCTTATAGAGCAAAGATACAAAATGTGGTTCAGTGGAGTAAAACTAACAACCTCCAGTTGAACGCATCGAAAACATGTGAACTGGTCTACGACTTCAGTCGCAATAGTTCTCATTTGCCTGTCGTAATCGACAACTCCCAGGTGCAGATCGTAGAGGAGTGCAAGTTTCTGGGTTTAACTCTGTCTAATGACCTGAAATGGGTTAAAAACACTGACCGAGTCGTTAAGAAAGCTCGTCAGCGTCTCTACTTTCTGCGTAAACGTAGAGAATTTACCACTAACTCTAAGATTCTGCTTAACTTTTATCGCTGCATCATTGAGAGTTTACTTGTTGGTTCTGTGTCTGTGTGGTTTGGAAACATCACAGATAAAGAAAAGAGAGCTTTAAACAAGGTGCTCCGCTCTGCAAAGAGGACCGTGGGCTGTGAGCTTCCTGTTCTGGAGGTTCTTTATAAATCCAGACTTTTAAACAAAGCTCTTAGGATTGTCAATGACTCTTCTGGCCACCCTGGGAAAGCCATGTTCCAGCTTCTTCCCTCTGGCAGAAGATATCGCTCTCTGAGATGCAGGACATCTCGTTACGCTAACAGTTTTTATCCACAAGCTGTTATCAGTTTGAACAGAGCACTTTTATGTTTTGCACTTGTTTTGAAACTATTTTAGTCGATCAATTTCACAGTGACATTTGTTTGCTGTTTTATTTGTTTTATTTTTGTCTTTTAATGTTGTTTTATGTCTGTATTTGTCTGTGCACACTGGTGACTTTTGCTAATGTATTCCTATGTGGTGTTTTTACTGCAAATGGCAAATAAACTGAATCTGAATTATTACCTCATATGTTATTATTTTTTGCAGTGCAGAGCGACAACAGTGTTGGGATCCCTATTTTAATATAATATATAATAACAGATTTATTTTGTTGTTTATCTGTTTGAGATAAGACTCATCTGGAGACTGTATGGATGGTGCTATGCTAACCCGCTAACTCAACTACGTACCTATAGTTTGATCTTTGTAAATAATATAAATTAGTTCTAAACCATGAGCAATTTCTCCACGGTGTGAAAAGCAGAAATCAGATCAAAATTGAAAGACAGCGAGGGCTGGACACTTCATACAAACTAAAATAGCATAAAATACATTTAACTGGACTCAAATCCTTCTAATTAATTTACTTTGTAAGATCTCAACATTATGGATTATATAATGTGGGGTTTTGGATAAAAAATTAGTAATTAAGAAATAGATTAAAAAGTTTGTAAAAGAGATGGATCCAGCCCAAATGCTCTGAGGACATTCACCTGCTGTGGTTTATTGATTGACTGCGGAACCTTCCGCAGTCAACCATTGGTTTTGTATTTCTTTATTCCGTCATTTTTTTTGACACGTTTCACAGCTTTCACATTTTCAACAATTTCCACAAGTTATACATCAAAACGTTCCACATGTTTGGGAGATTATTGCTATTACTTTTGGGACTTCAGCGATTTCCGGTTTTTCCGCAATCGGACAAAAATCTGCATTGAGAATTCTGCAATGCATTTTAATAGGCCCATGCATTTTAATAGGACTTCAGCTCTTTCAGACATTTCTACAGTTTCAATGATTCAACAGTTTCAAGGATTCAACAGTTTCAAGGATTTCAGCAGTTTCAAGATTTCAAGAGTTTCAAGGACTTCAACAGTTTCAAGGACTTCAGCAGTTTCAAGGACTTCAGCAGTTTCAAGGACTTCAGCAGTTTCAAGGACTTCAGTGTAATCATGCAACCTAATAGGGATTTTTCCATGTAAACCAGTATAATGCAACTTAATAGGGATTTTTCCATGTAAACCAGTATAATGCAACTTAATAGGGTTTTTTCATGTAAACCAGTATAATGCAACTTAATAGGGTTTTTTTTCATGTAAACCAGTATAATGCAACTTAATGGGGATTTTTCCATGTAAACCAGTATAATGCAACTTAATAGGGGTTTTTACATGTAAACCAGTATAATGCAACTTAATAGGGTTTTTTCCATGTAAACCAGTATAATGCAACTTAATAGGGTTTTTTCCATGTAAACCAGTACAATGCAACTTAATAGGGATTTTTCCATGTAAACCAGTATAATGCAACTTAATAGGGATTTTTCCATGTAAACTAGTATAATGCAACTTAATAGGGATTTTTCCATGTAAACCAGTATAATGCAACTTAATAGGGATTTTTCCATGTAAACCAGTATAATGCAACTTAATAGGGATTTTTCCATGTAAACCAGTATAATGCAACTTAATGGGGATTTTTCCATGTAAACCAGTATTATGCAACTTAATAGGGATTTTTCCATGTAAACCAGTATAATGCAACTTAATAGGGTTTTTTTCATGTAAACCAGTATAATGCAACTTAATAGGGTTTTTACATGTAAACCAGTATAATGGAACTTAATAGGGGTTTTTACATGTAAACCAGTATAATGGAACTTAATAGGGGTTTTTACATGTAAACCAGTATAATGCAACTTAATAAGGATTTTTACATGTAAACCACTATAATGTAACCTAATAGGGGTTTTTACATGTAAACCAGTATAAAGCAACTTAATAGGGATTTGTACATGTAAACCAGTATAATGCAACCTAATAGGGATTTTTCCATGTAAACCAGTATAATGCAACTTAATAGGGATTTTTCCATGTAAACCAGTATAATGCAACTTAATAGGGATTTTTCCATGTAAACCAGTATAATGCAACTTAATAGGGATTTTTCCATGTAAACCAGTATAATGCAACTTAATAGGGATTTTTCCATGTAAACCAGTATAATGCAACTTAATAGGGATTTTTCCATGTAAACCAGTATAATGCAACTTAATAGGGGTTTTTACATGTAAACCAGTATAATGCAACTTAATAGGGTTTTTTTCATGTAAACATCTCCGTGGCATGTTCCATAAAAAAACACTGTTTGAGGAAAAATGTAAATGAGTTCTAATGTGATTCACTGCCACAGATCTGATGAAGATGAATGCTGCACTGTCATGACGTGTAACCCTCAGGACGCATTCTACACAACGCAACACAACGCACAATTATCCGGATCGCTTGTCACATTCTGCTCTCTGCTTTCTGGACTCATAAAAGAGTTTGTCACCTTTGCCAGGAAGATTGACACAAGGTGAGGTTTTAAATCTGTGACATCCACCTCTCACACACAAACAGCTGTGATGAATGTTTGCACCCTCAATGTTTAAAATAAATGAATTTTAAATCACACTTTTATTTAGCTCATTAGTCATGGCTGTGTGGAGGGCAGCTGAATTATGTCCTGGTAACTATGGTAACTGTCAAAAGTAATATTTCACGTCATTTCTCAGTTTTGAGCTAATATCTCTTCAATTCCAGGACCACATGAAACAAAAGCTGTCACAAGGTTCCACACCTTCTTTGTCAATACATATAAACTATAATTAGTGCTGGGGAAAATGCTTTGGACAATTTCGATTTTAAATTGATTTTCATTAAGGTCACCAAAGACAGACTTTGCCCTTAAAAATATGTTTGATCTTTCCGCTCAATATTCAAGTTTTAAAACTATTTTTAGTTTATTTCCCCCAATACGTATTTTAAAAGTCTTGTACAGACTGTGCTGATATTTTATATAGTATAATTCATGTGCTGCTGGAACTCTCACAATATCCTTCATTCGATTTCACGGTTTTCAAATTTTTCCAAAAAAAAAAAGCCATTAATTGCCTAAATGTATTGCCCAACCCTAACTATAAAAAAAAAAAATCTGGAAATTTTGTCAATATTCATCAAAATAAATGCTGGCCAAAAGAAAGTACTTTTAGACAGAATCAGAATCATATAGAGGATTTGTGAGCCCAATCACTATAAAATGGTGATCTGGGAAAACATTTACATTTTATTTTTCAACATCTCTTTGAAAAACGTGACACACATTTCCCATAGATTTAAATTGGCACTTGCCCTCCCACTGAAACGCAATTATTTAACATGAACGCAATCTTTTGACAAATCAACATGTTTTCACATTTTAATGGTAACAGAACCCAGGTCTCTTTAGCATGTATTTCCCCTTTAACATTTATGACAGCTTGGAGTCCTTTTGTGGCAGTTGGGAATGAGGTTCTTCAGATGGTTAAACTGAAAATTCTTATTGACAAAAAGCCTGAAGTTAGTAAGTAAGTAATATTTATTTATATTGCACATTTTACAGACCAAGGTCACCCAAAGCGCTTTACAATGTTCAGAGTTCAGATATTGTTCCAGTCATTCCACACACGGTGATGACGGAAGCGAGTCGCCGAACACACTGGAGCATCAGCTCCAATCAACACCATCCACACTCTCTCATTTACATTCATACCTATTGTGCATGGGTTTGGTGGTAGGGGAAACCGGAGCACCCGGAGGAAACCTACGCAGACACGTGAAGAACGTGTAAACTCCACTCAGAAAGGCCCTGTTCCGACCAGGATTCGAACACAGGACCTTGCTGAGAAGCGAGAGTGCTATCCACTCAGCCACCGTGCCGCCCCGGTTTAATTTCCTGGGCTAGCTTACATCGAATATACATTTTAGATCTCACAATTTGACAATGTAAAGCTTCACACAACCACCAACAATGTGCGTAAAATGACCAAAACAATCAAATCTCTGGCTGGGTGTAAACTTTCAAGCACAACTGGACATACTAGGCTTTCCTGGAGTCAAACACATTGTAGTTTGCATTGCAAGTGCAGTAATAAGTATTTGTTCTTACTGTGCACGTCGCCTCGCTGCTTGGTGACATCCTTGTTGATGCTATTGTCCACTGGAGTTACCGGGGCAGGTGGGGGCGGCATAAAGGGTCGTCTGGTGGGTGGCGGCGCATGTTTCGGTGTCACGTAGGGTTTTCGAGTGGGCACCGAGGGCTTTCGAGTGGGCACTGGAGGCTTCCGGGTCGGTATGGAAGGCTTCTTTGTGGGGACTGCTGGTTTGCGTGGTGGAGTGATCCTTTTTGGTGGTGGTTTTGTTGTTGTAGTAGTTGAAGTTGTGGTAGTAGTAGTAGTAGTAGTGGTGGTGGTAGTAGTAGCAGGTGTTGTAATTCTCGGGATGAAGACTCGTTTTTCGGTGACTGGGGGTCTGACGGTGGTTGTGGTGGTCCGCCTGAAGTCAAAGTCGGGGATGTAGTTGTGGTGATGGGTCTTGCCTGGACGTGCAGGTTCAATACCCACTTTGGGGAAAGCTGAAATGACAAGACCAAGATGAGTTATAGGCAAATGATTAGTATATTGTCTAATGTACAGTACCTTCGATCCAAATGTTAAAGCTGGGGTACCTAACTTTCAAACCATAAAACAATGGATCTCTGTTATGAAATCCATCTAATGCCTTATTTAGTGATTTAGTACAGATATGCAATGTTTTCTAGTTAGATAAAAGACAGCAGGCTCTGGTCGGATTTGTTCACAGATTTTTATGTGTACAAGACTTTTTTTTTTTTTTTTTGGCATAAACAGAATGTGCTATTTATGGGGAAACAAAGTGAGGTACCCCAGATTTGTGTGAGAATGGACTAAAATACCACAAGCATGCTACGATAAAAACAGGTCAAAGAAAGTGTTTGTCTCCTGAAGGGCTGCTGCATAAAACCAAAAAATGGAAGCTACAAAGAACAGCTAATTATAACTTTGAATTTTGTCCTTTTACAAGATCAAAAGTGTAATTTGTTATTCTCTTTCATCTATTCTACATTATTGCCTGGCATGTATTTGGGGCCAAGACACGACTCTCGTTTTGTGTTTCACGTCAAATCCAACTGTCATTTTTGTTTAGGTTTTTAGTTTATACTGAGCGAATGATTGATAAAAGTTTCCCACTCGCCATTTCAGAATGACGTAAAATGAGAGTCATTTTTGTAATAGTTTTCCATTTCAAACAGTGCTCATTTAAAAATGTCCTTTAACTGAAACCCATGCAATCACACCTCCTGAAAGGCCAATAGGCTGCAAAACATGTATAAATATTAGTTACGTTATTACTGACTGAATGGCATGGTATTGGTTCTAGTACAATTGTTTTAGTCGAGAGTCGAGATTACAGATTTCTGATGAAAGTATGCTAAGATGTGTGTCTAGTTCTCTGTCATACAAAAAAAACACCAATTACTCTCAGACACTGTCAAAATGTCACAGTGACTCTTTTGCATTACAAAATGGAAGCCCGCTCCTTCTCTACGGCAATTCTATGTCTCATGGGTGTTACAGACTAACACATGCATCTGATATGGTTCCGACAGTGTGTGTGTGTGTGTGTGTGTGTGGAATGAGAAATCTGTGGAATAAGAAGAGATAATAATAATGTATATGCAGCAGACATTGGAGAGAGCAGATGAAAACGCGGTGAAGTAACAGCATTGTAAGAAATACCACTTTAGCAGAAACAGTAGTAATAAACTTACTCTGGGCCTATTTAAGCCGTTTTCTTAGTCAAACATTTGTTTATTTGACATTAAAATAATTATCCAATGATTGATTTGGATTATTATCATCCAATTGTGGTAATAATAGTTGTAAAGATGGTTTAAAGTCCAATAATTCAATGCTTTCATTGAACTTTTCTTAATTACATGGTGGGTTCAAATTAAAATAAATTAAATGTTAAAGGAAGTTTTCCTCAGACAAAAAGGTTTGAAATGAGATATAACATGCTATAGTAACCCATATAATTTCAACATCAATCCTACAAATTAGTGATTTAAAATTAAAATCAGTTGAGAGGCCACTAAAAATGGTTTTGACAACTTTAACAACTATAGAGCTCATAGTTTTAACCCAAGAGTAAAAACTAATCTGGCTCCATATCTGATTAGAGCCAGGACAAGGCTACAGCATATAAAGCCTGATCTCTTGTAATATTGATTGCCAATTTTTTGTGTTTTTTTTGTTGCTTGGGGCGACACAGCGCTGGAAAACTGAAGCATCGCGAGCCCCCTCTTCATTCTTTACCAGTGGGGTTGGGGTTCATGCAGGTTTCATGAGTGGAGGAACGGGCACGGACACAAAAGCGGCCGGTGAAGCCTCTGTTATTGGATTCTCGGGTTGCAAGCGCCTTTGATATGTGAGAAGAGAAGGACGTCGCGAATGCCCCAAGCACTTGCCACATAGGGCCAAAATCACAAGGAGACCAGGGATTTGAAGGATTTGAAAGATGCAGGTTTTGGTGTTCAATGATTAAATGACCACTGGGAATAAATGACTCCTTGTCCAGTGAGTTGCCAATGCGCCCTGCGATCTGGGTCTAATGAAGTGTGCGTCGGATGAAAGACTATAGCAGCTCTAGACATTACTCAAGATGACAAGTGCTCCTTTTGCCTGATGAAAACGGCCAAACGCCAAAAATATACAGACAGGAAGTTGGGAGTCGTTGATGGAAAGGCTACATCCATACAGAGCCCAGCAGATATTTCTCTTCTGCCTGCAATATTACCAAGATTTCCCAGACAAATTGCAGCGGCAGCAAGTTTGAAAGATGTCTTCAGAATACGTTTGCGCCGGAGATAAATGTGCTGCTGTAGTCAGAAGCTGAAATTGTACTGTACCAGGCAATCATTCTAGGTTTCTAAGTCTGGATATGTCTAATAATGATGTTTATAGTAACAATCAACTCAGTATATATAGTCTGACCCGAGCATGCATATCCTCAAGCTTTGCAGACAGACGACCCAGAGAGAGGTATTATGAACTATTAATATTTTCAGAACAATTTAAACCTATATGCCAATATTTTTATATTTATAGTGTTCAAATCACTAATCATATAATCATACAAACAACAACTACCCTGGCTTATTGCAAGTATATAGGAGGATTTTCCCACATTTTAGGAAAGAACCGCCCTCTCCACTTTTTTAACAAAACTCTCTGGTCTTATTATCGTATCACCAGAATGATTGATTCGTTTCTACTTATTATTGATACATAATAATAATAATAATAATAAATCTTTATTTATAAAGCACTTTTCAAAAACAATGTTTACAAAGTGCTGCACAGCATAATAAACAATACATCAGTCATAATACAAAGTTAAAACAATAAGAATGAATGCAAGAAGACAAGACAAACAGAGGAAACACAAGACCACAAAACAGACAGGACAGACAGTAAAATACAACATTATAAGTTTAAAGCTGACAATTAAAAGCTGTTTTATAAAAGTGGGTTTTAAGAAGAGATTTAAAAGAGGATACTGATGGTGCTAGCCTTATCTCCTCGGGCAGGTCGTTCCAAAGCCGAGGAGCCCGGACAGAAAAGGCTCGATCACCTTTCGTCCGGAGCCTCGACCTTGGAATGGTCAGCAAGGACCTGCCCGAGGATCTAAGGCTGCGGGGGGGCTCGTAGGGGGTTAAAAGTTCATAAATATAGCTTGGTGCCAGACTTAAACGAGCTTTAAAAGTAATCAGTAAAATCTTAAAATCAATTCTAAATCGCACAGGGAGCCAGTGGAGGGACGCTAAAACAGGGGTGATGTGCTCCCTTCTGTTAAAACCAGTGAGAAGTCTGGCTGCTGCGTTCTGAACCAGTTGGAGGCGGGAGAGGGATTTAGCATCAAGACCGGAGAGGAGGGAGTTACAGTAATCGAGGCGGGAGAAGATGAGGGCGTTGACGACTTTATGGAGATCGGGAGGAGTGAGAATGTTTTTAATCTTAGAGATGGTGCGGAGGTGATAGAAGCAGGTTTGGGTGGTTTTATTGATGTGGGAGCGGAAGGTGAGGTGAGAATCAAAAATGACACCGAGGTTACGGGCGGAGGGAGTGATGTTTGAGGACAGGGGGCCGAGGTGGGTTTGGATGTGGGATATGGATGGAGGCGGGTTGATGAGGAGGACTTCTGATTTGGAGGTGTTGAGTTGAAGGAAGTTATGAGCCATCCAACGGTTCACATCATTAAAACAGTCGACCACAGCAGCCAAACTTCCAGGGTCGTTTGGTCTCAGCGGGAGGTAGATCTGTGTGTCGTCCGCATAGCAGTGGAAGGACACGTTATGACGGGCCATAACGTGTCCTAGGGGGAGCATATAAATAGAGAATAAAATGGGGCCTAAAATAGAACCTTGCGGCACACCACAGGTGATGGGGGCTGTTGAGGAGGTAAAATCACCCATGGTGACCGCAAAGGTTCTTTCTAAAAGATAAGAATGAAACCAACCAAGTGCAGTATCTCTGATGCCAACCCACGTTTTGAGGCGATCCAATAAAATATCGTGGTCTATAGTGTCGAAGGCAGAGCTTAAATCTAAAAGAATTAAATTGAATTAAAGAATACATGGACTCTTTAATATCACCCTTTTGATACCACGCTGTCCGTAAGATTCTGCTTTTGTCGTGTGTCTGGATTACTGTTTGCTGTGGACTGCTACTGCTGCGCGCCAAACTACCTGGAGAGGGGCATAAAAATAACAGTCTGCCACTGGATGATTTGGCATTATATTTGGTATCATGCCCCCACAAAGGAAAGGGCCAACCCCGGAGGAGTTTGAAGAAATAAAGCTCTCTCTTAATTCCTTGTGCGCGGATGTGACCGCGGTCAGGGGGCAGCAGGAGCAGCTCCTGGGACTACTGGAGGAGGTCAAGCGACTACGCCTCCAGAACGCGGAAAAAGACCGGCGGATTGTGGATCTGGAGAGGCGAGTGGACGAGCTGGAGCAATACTCCCGCGTGAATGATGTGGTCATCACGGGCATCAACATCAGGCCGCGCTCCTATGCGCGTGCAGTGACCGCGGACAGCGGGGAGCTCAGCGGCGTGGAGGCACAGACGGTGGAGCAACAGGTGGCTTCCTACCTCCAGAGCAGGGGGATAGAGATGGACCTGGAGCACATCGAGGCGTGTCATCCACTACCCACAAGAAGCCAGAGACCACCAGCCGTAATCATCAGATTCACCAACCGAAAAAAGAAAACTGCACTGCTGAAATAAGGACGCAAACTCAAAGGCACAAACGTATTCATAAACGAGCACCTGACAAAGAAGAACGCAGACATGGCAAGAATCGCACAACAATTGAAAAAACAAGGCCGAATTCAACAAACCTGGGTAACAAACTGTAAAATCTTCATTAAATTAAATGGCCCACCAGAAAGCGCAAAAGTCTTGGTGATAAGGAAGATGGAAGACCTAGACCAGTATCAACAATTCTCAAATTAACTTGTGTCATTCTCCATCATCACAATGCCCGAGCCGAGAACACAGACTGCATCAAATATGGACATAGACATGTTACAGTCAACCCTACAATATCAGCAAACGGACCTGGAGACGTGTGAGTACCATGAGCACACCACAACAGAGACAGACAGTGATATAGACCTGGACAATAACTTTCTCTCTTCAATTTCTCACAATTGCACTTATTTCACCCAAGATCAATACGTAAACAATGTAAAATCAGAAAACAACCTGTCAATCATACATTTTAACAGTCGAAGCATGTACACTAACTTTGAAGCCATAAAAGATTACTTGAAGCAATTTAGAATCCATTTAGTATCATTGCAATAACTGAAACCTGGTTCAATGAGCACAAAGATAATATATTTTTTCTCGATGATTATGAACTAAGATACACAAACAGAACAAACAAAACAGGAGGTGGTGTTGCCATATACATCCACAAATCAATAATATTTTATGTTGTAAAAAATATGTCAATAGCTGTGGATGGCTTGTTTGAATGTTTAACAGTGGAAATACTAAATGAGAAAAAGACTAATATCTTCATGAGCTGTATATATCGGACACCTGGTTCGAGCATAGACAGCTTTAATGAGTGGATGGGTAAACTGTTTTCTTCTGTCAATCAAAAAAACATATTTATTTGTGGTGACTTTAATATCGATTTGCTTAATCCGTCCAAGTTAAAAACTGTCGATGACTTCATTGACACCATGTACAGCCTTTCTCTATATCCAACTATAACAAAACCAAGCAGAATAACATCACACAGTGCCACCATCATTGACAATATCTTTACAAACATAATCGGGAATAAAATCAGCAGTGGACTTTTGGTATGTGACATCACCGACCACTTACCTATATTTACTCTGTATGATTGTAATCTAAAAAAACTCAGGACAATACAGCAAAAATATTTAAACGTATAATCACTGATGAAACAATCGTCACCCTAAACAACAGTCTGTTGCTCCAGGATTGGACCAAGGTTTACAACGAACCAGATGTGGACAGTGCTTATTGTACCTTTTGAGACATCTTTACTTCATTGCATGATAAGCACTGCCCGGTAAAGGAATATTTCATAAAGGAAAAATGTAAACAAAGCCCTTGGATTACAAAAGGAATACTTAATGCCTGTAAAAAGAAAAACAATCTCTACAGAATGTTTCTCAAAGTTAAAACAGCAGAAGTGGAACAAAGATATAAGAAATACAAAAATAAATTAACGGATATCATAAGAACAAGTAAACGGTTATACTATGAAAACAAACTGTATGAAAATAAAAACAATATGAAAGGAACTTGGGATACTTTGAATAGCCTAATCAAACAAGGACATTCAAAGTTAACATATCCTGATCATTTTGTTCTTGAAAATGGTGAAGATTATAATATTAGAAATATAGTAAATAAGTTTAATGATTACTTTGCAAATATTGGGTCTAAATTAGCTGCTGATATTCAAGACAATGAAGTTACAGAATCCCCTATTAAACAAAGTTCTTGGTCGTTCTTCCTCTCAGCAACAAATGAGCAGGAAGTAACACAAATCGTACAGACATGTAAAAGTAAGTCGTCCACTGACTGTCATGATATCAATATGACCGTGATTAAAAAAGTTATTCTGAATATTGTTAAACCCCTAACTTACATCTGTAATTTATCATTCCAGACCGGTTCTTTTCCAAATAAAATGAAAATTGCGAAAGTAATTCCACTGTTCAAAAATGGAAACAAACATGAATTTTCCAATTACAGACCCATCTCTCTATTGCCTCAGTTTTCAAAGATTCTCGAGAAGCTTTTCAATTCACGACTTGAAAAGTTTCTGGAGAAACATCATATAATAAATGAAGGTCAGTATGGTTTCAGATCCAAAAGAACAACATCAATGGCAGTAATTGAAGCAATTGAAGAAATCTCAAATGCATTAGAGCAGAAAAAGTATACAGTTGGTATTTTTGTTGATCTTCAAAAGGCTTTTGACACCATTAACCACTCAATACTACTAAAAAAGATGGAAAGATACGGAATTAGAGGACTGGCTGGGAAATGGATCAAAAGTTACTTAACAGGGAGGGTACAGTTTGTTAAAATGGGTCAGTATTTTTCAGACACGGTTGGCATTACTTGCGGTGTCCCCCAGGGGTCAGTATTGGGTCCTAAACTGTTTAACATATATATGAATGACATTTTTAATACATCTAAAGTACTAAAACTAATTATATTTGCTGACGACACAACTATTCTATACAGTGGTGATGATTATAATGAGCTTGTAATCTCCGTAAACAAGGAACTACATCAAATAAAAAAGTGGATGGATGCAAATAAATTATCCTTGAATGTAAATAAAACTAAGATGATGATGTTTGGGAATCGCAACCTAACGTCTGAATCGAGAATAAGTATTAATGATATCCAAATTGAAATGGTAAGTGAAATTAAGTTTTTGGGAGTAAAAATTGATAGCAAGTTGTCATGGAAACCCCACGTCAGACACATAAAAACCAAAATTTCCAAAAACCTCTCAATTATTAACAAAGCAAAACTATACCTAAATGGAAATGCACTCCGTACATTATACTGCAGCCTGGTTCTTCCATACCTGACGTATTGTGTTGAGGTCTGGGGTAACACTTACCACAACACACTACATCCTCTCATCATATCACAGAAAAGAGCAATGCGGATCATCCATAAGGTTGGTTTTCTGGAACATACTCATAATCTTTTTACTCAGTCAAAGCTGCTAAAGTTTGATGATCTTGTTAAATATAATACATCAATAGTCTTGTATAAAGCATTCAACAAATTATTACCGTCTAATCTGCAGCGTTTCTTTACGACTCCTGAGCGAGCTCACAACTTGAGAGGTTTTGGATATTTTTCACTGCCGAGATCAAAAACCACTCGTAAATGTTTTTGTCTGTCAGTATGTGGAGTAAAACTTTGGAATAAACTGGACTCACAACATAAGCAATGTAAAACTATTCATCGATTTAAACTGTTCTATAAACATAAGGTCTGGTTACAATATAGAGATGAGGGTCTTTAATTTAATCAGATTTTCTCTGTCTCATAGTGTAACATGTGCTCAATGTTCCATTACCTTGTTAGTATATAGAATCTTGCTATTGTTGTTTTTTCTTTTTTGTTCATTACCATTGTTGGTATATTTTCTATTACCATTGTTGGTATATTTTCTATTACCATTGTTGGTATATTTTCTATTACCATTGTTGGTATATTTTCTATTACCATTGTTGGTATATTTTCTATTACCATTGTTGGTAACTTGGGCGACAGTAGCTCAGTTGGTAGAGCATTGGCCTTAAGCCCAGAAGGTCGTGGGTTCATTTCCCACCTCTGCACCTTCTCCACCGACTCCCACTGATGACTGCTGTCGTTGTGTCCTTGGGCAAGACACTTAACCCCACTTTGCCCAAAGCCCCCACTGAAAGATCAAGGCTATGCTCACACTCAGAGAGCAGCCATCCTCCTGTGGACTCACCACCTGCAGAGGGTCAGTGAGGGGCTGGTGCTATGAGACTTGGGTGGCATCTCTGACTGCCACCCCCCTGACCCAGAAATGGATTAAAGGGAAGAAAATGGATGGATGGATGGATGGCATTGTTGGTAACTGTTGTTACAATGTAAATGTCCTTGTTGCCCGTGATAACGCCACTCTGGTATGATACTGGCTTGAACTGTAACAGTGAAGTTGATCGTTTAATCACTGAAATGGGGATATAGGGGTGGGATTAAATAAGTTTTTTCTTCCTCCCACTCCTTTTCAGGCAGAAATATATGGCCATGTTAAACCATAGATTTTTGTTTATACATTTTTTGTTTACACTGTTTTTTTGTTTGTTTGTTTATTGTGTTTGTCTGTTTTGTTTTTTGCTTTATATTATTTATATTACTTAATTGCATTTAATTACCACGTTTTCTCACTTGTGCCATTGCCTGAAATAAATTAATAAATAAATAAAAAATAAATAAATGATTGACAGTTGGAAGGACCAATAGTCTAGATCCACCCGGAAGTAAAAAAAATCCTCCTATATACCTTTAAATAAGGAATAGTTTTTATGAATTAAATTTCACTGACAAAGGAATCTAAGTTTGCAATATTTCCTCTTCAAGTGGTATCACATAAGCATCAAATGTGCTTATTTTTTCTTTTGTTAAACATCTATAAAGATCATAAATAGATTATAAATAGTTGAAATAGGCAAACATGCTGTAAGTGATTAAGCAAAGAAATCGATTGCTGTTCTATCTTTGTTCAATAATGCAAGAATCTGTTTAAAAAACAATCAATACCATCCCGAGTGTTCCATGCATGTATTCATTTCAACTTTGACCACAGAGCTTGTAGTTTGTTTGCACTCTTTAAATGCCAACAGCATCGTGGCCGGTGACTGACAACCATAACAAAAGGAAGGAATTTGACTGCACCCCTCCGATGCTCCAACCTCAACCTCTTTAGCTTTCGTAAACTTCCTCCAACAACATGGGGGCCCCACTCTTGGCTCCTGAGAGGCATTGTTGCTCACGTTTGCAGTCGTGGCCCATCCCCCTGAAGCCGTCTCTGCATTTGCACTTGTAGGAGCCCGGCGTGTTGTAGCAGGTGGCGAAGCGGCTGCACTGGCTCTGGCCTAAAGAGCACTCATCCACATCTGAAACATAATAGAAATGAGAAATAATAGATTGGGAACGAGCCTGCAAAACACTTCACATGCATCCAGACCTTTTCAAAGGCTGATGGACCATTCAGTACAAGTACAAAATGCATAATACTTATGTCGAGCGTACTCCACATAAGCAGTCGGCACCACTGCTCTGATGTAGACCATTTTAGATTCAATTTAATTTCACATCGACCATTACGATAATTGACAGTAAGGGTTGTGACGTCGCCCGGTATGGGGCAGCTTGGGGCCACATGTTTTTTAAATTATTTTTACATATTTGTAATGTGTATTGAGTGACTGTACCACCTCTTGAATGCCCATGGAGGAATAGCTATCAAAGCTCTATTGTGCTATTGTATAAAGAGGCAATAGTGCTTTTTTCCACTCATGAAAAACCTACCTAGAGTTGTTTTTAGATCCATTTTTGTTTGGTCCCAAATTTTGTTTGGCATTTTCTCAAGTGAGATTACGTTCTTGACAACCACTGTGTTTGCACCCTGCAATTTTTTACCTTTAGAAAACAAAAATAATTCAACTGCTCCCTCTGTTGGTGATATAGGGAGTTATAACTTTTTACACTTTCACCTTGTTTCACCATGTTATCTATTTGTGATTGTATTTCACATTACATTTTCCCATTCAGCTTTATTAGTCGTTTTTGACCAATCGACAATTTGGACAAAAATAAAGCACAACACTCCTTCTTTAACAGTTCATACATCATTCTCCAATTTACGTTTAACCATGTGAAAAAGCAGACGGTACCTTGGCACTGGTATTTCCCATTGACGTATTGGAGGTCAAAGCCGTCGTGACATTTGCAGATGTAGCTCCCAAATGTGTTGATGCATTTCCTGAAGCGTGGACACACCGCTGTTCCCGCTGCGCACTCATCCACATCTGTGACAAAAAACAACACAATGTACACAGTGAAAGTAAGAGAAAAAAATAACTCCAACTCTGCTAAACTGTTTATCGTTGTATTTGAGTAATAAGAATGAAAAATGTTATTGTGCCTGGATCATAAATGCAATGCAGGAGTGGGCTTATTAATATTCAATGTAAACAAGGCCTCAAGCTATAAACACATTCATTAAGTTTGTGCATAATGCAAATGAGGCGTTGTTGTTTGTGGTTGTTGAAGGCATCTCATATATTTTTGTGCGTGAAGAAAATACTGCAAACTGAAGTGGACGCAGGGCTGCCAGTTCCAAATAGTGATTGTTACCACTAGCCATCCATCAAAATCATGTCAACTGCGTATCATGCTTCAGTTCAATAGCAGCAATTTTACAGCAAGTCAGAGGTGTCGTGGTATCCAGCTATGCAACAGAAGAGAGACTGACAGGATGGTATTTTTCACAATAACTCATATACTCTCTGCTGCGACTTAAAAACTCTCGACACTAAAAGGAAACGCATACAAATTATTAAGGGATCTGACCAAATAGCAATCAATAAATAACATGCAATCACATTTTGTCCACCTCTGACCTATCCCAAAGCCTCTTTGACTACTACAAAGAGAGGGCCGCCATTCAGCCAATCAGATCCAAGCACACTATAGTGACTCACAGGGTTCTTTCTAAATGTGCATTTATTGACCCTGTAGGGAAATTTGTAATCTGCATTTGACTACCGGAGCTGGAGGATTTGACCTATTGAGCATATTTTTATTGGTAGGGGAAACCGGAGTACCCGGAGGAAACCTACGTGGACACGAGGAGAACATGCAAGCTCCACTCAGAAAGGCCCTGTTCCAACCGAGATTCGAACCCAGGACCTTCTTGCTGAGAGGCGAGAGTGCATTCCACTCAGCCACCCACAAGGGAAAGGTACCCCAGCTTTAAACATTCTGATTCAAAAAAAACTTTTTACAGCTTAGAAGTTTTCATAACCAAACCATGCAGAAGAAAATTCCAACTGCAGTAGTAAGTAAGTAAGTAATTATTTATATACCGCCTTTTCACTGCAGAGCTGAGTCTCAAAGCGGTTTACAATTGTTATTTTTTTTTGGGCACTTGTCTCTCACTCCACACAGAGATGGGAGCAGGGTCGCCAGTACAGGAGGCGCATGCCAGAACTATTTTACATATTTTTAGCGGTAGGGGAAACCAGAGTACCCGGAGGAAACCTACGCAGACACGGGGAGAACATGCAAACTCCACTCAGAAAGGCCCTGGTCCGACCGGGATTCGAACCCAGGACCTTCTTGCTGAGAGGCGAGAGTGCTATCCACTCAGCCACCGTGCTGCCGAGTAGAAGATGCCAACTGTCTAAAACAAGAAAGAATATACAATTGTGTGTTAAAGTATTGTAAAAACTATAACTGACTATCCATCATATGTATCTACATTCATTGAACTCATTACATTAAACAATAAATCAAGGGTTAGACTGCAGCCGCTGCAAATAAGCAATTCAATTTGGAGAGACGTGAAACAAGAAGCTTTAGAGTATTTTATTTAGGAGGAGGTTTTGGCGCCCTAGGCCCTGGTGCGGCCTTCAGAGCGGAGGGCCTCCATGCGAAGGAGCGTGCCAATCCCCCGGGACCTAGGCACTGGTGGCGGCATTTGGCAGCGGGAAGCAGATTGAAGGCGGATTGAAGGCAGGGTGAAGAGGAGGAGGAGGGGAGGCGGTGGTTGCAGGCTTCGAGAAGGCCGAGAGTGGGAGTTCCTCCGCTTTTAAGCGGCTTGCCTGGCCGGTGCGGTGATTGGAAGGGGCGTTTGCAGCGCGATAGGCTGGGGATGAGAACCGGCCTGGAGGGGTTACCTTTGGCTGACGTCTACCAAATTGAACTTTCGCTGGCTGCATTTCAATTTGGAGAGACGTGAAACAAGAAGTTTTTGAGTATTTTATTTAGGAGGAGGTTTTGGCGCCCTAGGCCCCGGTGCGGCCTTCAGAGCGGAGGGCCTCCATGCGAAGGAGCGTGCCAATCCCCAAAAGGCTGTGTTGATGGAGTTTTGCAGCCTGGTTTGGAGGGGACAGAACGACGAGACTACTCTATGCTGTGACTGCTATCGCTATATACTGTGACCGCTATCGCTATATACTGTGACCGCTATCGCTATATACTGTGACCGCTATCGCTATATGCTGACGACCATCATGCGCTAACCATTTTTTGCTATATACTGTGACCGCTATCGCTATATACTGTGACCGCTATCGCTATATACTGTGACCGCTATCGCTATATACTGTGACCGCTATCGCTATATACTGTGACCGCTATTTGCTGTGACCAAACTTGCGGATACTCAGCTGCAGCCGCCACCAGGAGTTTAGCGAGTGTTTTATGGAGATGCCAAAAGCCGCTGGGCTGCCAGGATGGTCGAGGTGTCAGGCCTGATGTATGAGGAGAGGGCCGATGATGACCAGCGGCCCGGCTGCTGGAGGGCGGAATGGGGAGCCCCAGTGACGCGGCGCGCGTGGCGGCGCCTATCCGAGAGGAGTGGGCTGTGTAGAGATGGGGAGACAGATTACAAAGCAGCAGTACGTACTTGAGTTGGGCTCTGAACCAGTTGGGGGACATAGGGAGGTTATCAGGGGTAAGAAATAACGGTCCGTTGAGATCTCCTTTCCGAGAGCGGAGGCGAGTGTAATGCATCATGGATCGTGACAGCAGAGGGCGGAATGAGTGGAATGCAGTGGGCGTGACAGAAGCTGGAGTAGACTTTCCACGCGAAACTGTATGATTTCAGTGTGGAAGGTGGGAGACCCATCTTCGTGTAGGATGCAGCGGAGGAGATGAGGAGGTGAAGAGACGGAGGGACTAGTCCAGGGCGAGGGATTCCATGCAGGGGATCTGGCATGGTGATGGGTTGGCAGAAGGGCAGAGGCGTCGGAACTCCTGGAAGTCGAGATTATCACGCATGACGGAGATCCTATTTCTCTGCCAGGTGTGATTCCACAGCGCGCAGCCACGACCACTGGGAATATCTCGTGTAGGGCAGAGGAGATGCTCCGGTGGAAAGTAGCGGCCACGGCCCGGCAACCCAATGGTCCTGGAAAAAACCCCCAAAACCCACGGAAGGGGCACGTCCGTGTAGAAGTGGAGACCTGTAGGGGCAGAGACATATCGGAGAGGGCCATTGATGTTGCAGGCGCCCTTACGCTTAGAATCTTGGGTTGGAGAGTAGATAATCAGGATAGTAGGATGGTCGGGAAGCCGCGTCTCGGACCGCATGAAGGTTGAGTGTGCAGTAGTGAACGCTTATGCAGAGAAGCCATAGAAGGCGAGCCGGAAGATGCTGCGAGGAGGGCAGACATGTACTTGGAAGACGAGCCAGAGTTCAGTGCCGCTCAGAGCCGCTGCAGGATGGGCAGCACGATGGGGGAGCCTGCGATCAGAAGAGTGAAGAATACAGGTATGGATGCCTTTGATTAGGAGTCCGATTGACGGCTCAGCGCAGCTACTCGGCCGGCTGCATCTGATAGAATCAGAAGATTAGGTAGAGAGATGAAGCATGACCGCCGAAGCGACCCTGGGAGCATAGGTACGAGGCCAGCGCGGCGCGGCATACTCGGCCGGGCAGCGTCCATTAGAAACAGGATAAGCTTCTGAGAGAGTGGGTTGCAGCAGTAGCAATGGCAGCAGCGGCAGCAGCAGTACCTCAGATAATACAGCGATAACCTGTACCAAGCCGCGGCAGCAGCAGCAGCAGCAGCAGCAGTAGCAGCATCCTTAGAGATTAACAGTAATAATCCTGTATCAAGCCACAGCAGTAGAATGTTGTCATAGCTGATCAGTGTTTCAGTAAAGAGATGCAGTGAAGAGATATGGCAAGTAAATGAAGCAGCAGCAGTAGTAGCAGCAGTAGCGGCATGGAGCAGCAGCAGCAGCAGTAGCGCAGTAGCCAGTAGCAGCAGCAGCAGCTGCAGCATCCGTAGATAATAACAGCAATGATCCTGTATCAAAGCCACGGCAGTAGGATGTTGTTGTAGCTGTTCAGTGTGAGGGATTTAAACAGGTTTTACGGTCCAAGTGAGGGATTAACTGAGCCCGCAGTCCAAGTGAGGAGTTTAAACTGAGAGTTTACGGTCCAGTGTGAGGGATCCAACAGAGCCTGCAGTTTTTAATGTATTTATTTATGTACTTATTTATATTTATTTATTTATATTTATTTATATTTATTTATATTTATTTATATTTATTTATTTATATGTATTTATTTATTCATTTATTTATTTTTAATATATAGCGTTCCAGATATAGGCAGTACCATATATGCAGTTCCATATACTGCATAACAGAACCATATAAGCAGTTCCAATATAGCGGTTCCATATATAAGCAGTTCCATATGAAGCAGTTCCAGATACGGTACAAAGTTCCAGATATAAGCATTTCCTGATATAAGCATTTCCAGATATAAGCATTTCCAGATATAACATTTCCAGATATAACATTTCCAGATATAACATTTCCAGATATAACATTTCCAGATATAAGCAGTTCCAGATATAAGCAGTTCCAGATATAAGCAGTTCCGTGGGGGATTAACCTGAGAGCTCACAGACCAATGTAAGGAATTCATTTTGGGAGCCGCAGTCCGAGAGGGATTTAAACAGAGCCTGCAGGCCAAAGTGAGGGATTAAAGCTGAGGTCTTGCAGTCCAATGTGAGGGATTAAAACTGAGGTCTTGCAGTCCAATGTGAGGGATTAAAACTGGGTTCTTGCAGTCCGATGTGCGGGATTAAACGGAGTTTGCAGTCAGAGTGAAGGATTTAACGGAGCTTGGTTAAAGAGAGCCTGCAGACTAATGCGAGGGCTTTAAACTGAAGCTTGCCCACCATGCACGGGGCCAACTGAGCCTGCAGAACTATGCGAGGGGAATAAACCGTCCGCAGATCTCATACTTACCCACAACGCCAGAAGACAAGGGACAACACAACGGGACCAGACCGTACCGGCACAAGGAGGCAGGGATGCGCACGGCTCCCACCGCACCGGGCTAGACCGGCCGTATGCAGCAGCAGGCCGCGACGAGACGAGCAGCGGCGAACCCGCAGAAAGAGCCCGCAAAGGAGGAGAGCGGCAAGACCCACGGACCACAGCACTAGACCCGCAGCAGGTGCAGCCACAGAAGGAGCAGACCACGCAGCAGACAGAGGACAGCAGGGACATGCACGAGTAAGTGAGAGCAGACGAAAGCGATTCCTCCAGAACGATTCTTTGCAAGGCTTCAGGAGCATGCGAGGCTTCGAGAAGGCAGAGAGTGGGAGTTTCTCCGCT